TTTTTTTTTTTAATCTTGCTTGTTTTCGGGGCATGGCCATTTCAACTTCAACGCATGGGGTCTGTTATGTCTGATCCGACCACGTCAGAATCATCAGATTTGTCCTTTTCTTTTTCTTTTTTTCTTTTTTAATTTGTCCTTACAAATTAGGCAAACTTTCCTTTCCTTAATTGCCAGGGACATGACTGACAAGTGAAGGCACCCCCCATTTTTTTTTATTTCTTATTTTTTATTTTTTCCCACGTCAGGGCCTTGTCCAGACCACCCATCCGAGCATCCAGATCCGGACGTCTGGGCCGGGGGGGGTTGGGGCCTTGATTTCTTCAAACATTATGCATGCATCACACTCAAGATCCACACCAAGCCAGCAAGAATCACACGGTACAAGTACACATGTTTCTCAAACTCCACCCTTTGGGAGGCCTTAAAAAAAATGTTTGCTCCACAGCTATGGCCGGCCAAGAACATCGACCAGAGTCTCTCTCTCTCTCTCTCTCTCTCTCTCTCTCTCTCTCTCTCTCTCTCTCTCTCTCTCTCTACTGCGCTATCCTACAGTTATGGTGCCTTGCGCTGTCGACTATCTTCCTTGCCATCACGCGCCCACGATCGAATGCATTATGATCTGGCTATGAAAACGGCCAGATTGAACCATGGCTATGGATCTTGGTGCACATTAACACAGCAGTGGTTCTGCATAACCAGATCAAATGCATCTGGCCACGAAAGGACAATTCATGCAGAACGAAGACACAGGATCTGCCCGTTTTCATAGCCAGATGCATTTCATTCACGCCTATGCATCTTCACGCACAATAACACAGCAGTGGTCCTTCATAAGCCAGAATCGAAGAAGAACAGGAGTCCACTTTTACAGCGAGGATCTTGATGTTTACTGAGTACCTTGGGCTGGAGGTCCCTAGCTGCGGCTTGCCTGTTGTGTGTGCAGGTACCATCCTCGTGGCTTGCGTCCTCGGTCCCGTTGGGCCTCTTGCCACGACTGACAAATTCATCCGCATAAGTGGGACATGCTGGCCCCTGGCATCTCGCAGACCCTTGCACCAATCCGGTGGCTTTCTGGGTCTGAGAAAAAGTCTGAATCTACGATAAAACAGTTAAATCTTCGTTGCAGAATAGAACGCCTGGTCACTATAGCTGCATTTGGCACAACTTTCAGTCCAGATGCAGCGATAATGAGCAGGCGTTATATTTGGGTGAAGACAGTTGGACTTCTTTTACTTATCTATGGACGTAATCACGGTCAGGTGCATCCAGGTCCGGCCGTAAATGCAGTCAGACTGTCAGATACATTTAAGATAGATCTAGTGTGAGTACGCGCTGAGATTCATTGAATGTACTTCGTTATTGAACAACCTTTTCTCGTTTCCTTTGGGCCTCAAAATAAACTGAAAGCATACTTATTACTTACATATAGAGCTTTTCTTTTCCTAGTGAATCTAACCGCAATACAAGGACAGATTCAGTCTCAAACAACCCCCCATAAGAAAGAGTGTACGCCTTTCGAGGCCTCTTACCTGAAATGCGGCAGCCCATTCACTGAAAGAATTTGCAGATTGCTGCTGATCTTGTTGTTGTGGCTGTTGCTGACAAAAA